CTGCTTGATTTATAAATGCGGATGAAGAATTAAAAATAAAATGTTACGTGATCATGCGGGAAATGAAAAGTAACCAATTCACTCGGGAATCGAACCCGGGACCGTACTGTTATGGAACCAGCACCCGTGCAGTAGGAGTCCGAACTCCGCTGAAACCTTCAGGCCGATAAAGCGGCACAAGAGGCTGCTTCAGTGTTGCCACGCGCCGCATGACCAAATCACACGCCGAAAACGCAACTTTTGGGAATTTTTTACGCCCTTCCTATTGCGCATTCGGGAAAACGGCTCAAATTGACCTCTAGAATTGGTCCATAGTCTGTAAAAAAAAATTCAGCTCAATCGGAGGCGGCAGGTCCGTAAGTTCCCCTTGTTAGCCATGTCGTACGCCAAAAAATTAAAATAAATTGGTTAAAACTTGTGCTTACCGTATGTTTGTAGTTTGGACGATTTACTTTCTTAATTTTTGCTAAGTATTTCCCTTCAGTTTGTAGTTTGGACGATTTCCTTTGTAGTTCTTGCTAAGTATTTCCTGTAAACAAAAAGCAGACTCGGTAAGAATATATATTAAGGGAGGAAGGGATGGTTCAAAAGTGTCAATGGCAATCAGATCCGTGCTATTACAAATCACTTTCTACTGATCAGACGATGCTATAACTACAATTGTTTACGCCTTTCAGACTTGGCCCCTGTTACAAAGCATGCGAGTTCCGTGAAAAATCAATGGCTGTCCCTTGACAGTTTTTACCATTACAACATACTAATTATACTACATATATGCTATATTTACTATATACTATAATTTGAAATAATTCTATCGAAAGCACCTTGAGCGAATAAAGTGAATATTAATCCGACTCAATGAGAGAGTTTAAGCACAAATCATAGGCTACTTGAGACAAAGGGACCAAATTAAACAAAAATAAATTTATCAAAATCAGAAGGAAGAACAACAATTTGGGCCTCATCCACAATCTTGGATTTGAAAATTTCGAAAATTGGACTGAAAATTCGAGTTGCTGGTCGAAAAATATCCCCTCGTACCTATCTTAACGAAAATGGATGCAGTCGAAGTCGATAGCATTTTAGGTCACATCCGCCATCTTGGATTTAGATATTTGAGAAAAAGACAGAGAATTGGAGTTTTTCGTCGAAAAATACGCCCTGATACCTAGTTTTACTAAAACCGATGCAATAGGAGCCGAGATAGCATTTTAGGCCACATCCATTATCTACGATTTACATATTTCGAAAATAGGACTGAAAATTCGAAAGTTTTACAAAAATCTATGCAATGGGAGCCGAGATACGGGGTGCAGGATTAATAATTTAAAAGATTCATCTGTACATCTCTTCTCTCCTTCCGTTCATTGACAGAGATACAACATTTTGTCGGACTCACTGACGCGACCGGCTCGATGCGTAAACAAGAAGTGTGGATTACCTCTAAGGTATAAAAAAAAAGAAAAAAAAAAAAAAAAAAAAAAAAAAACCGAGAATAACACCCACAGACCCACAGTCCCACACCCTAACATGGTTTTATAGCAAAACTTAATTCAAATTTTTCCATCCTGATTTAGATGCAGCGTAGTTAATCGAAAGAGTCTGACTTGTACCTATGTGGTAAAATGGGTCCACTGGTAAAACTGAAGCTGGCGTCAGGGATAAAAAGGCACCGTTTCACTGAGAGCATCGAGCCGTTCGCGTCAGTGAGTCCGAAAAATGTTGTGTCTCGGTCAATGGACGGAAGGAGAGAAGATAAGAGAAGAACAAATGAATCGTTTAAATTATTAAAATGCGTAAAATTCTGTAGTAATCCCTTTTGGAAATGAACGCGGTACAGGCTCTCCCGATCTCCTTGATGAAAGGGTTTCGGCAAACGCAAGAGTCATGCTTGTTGCATCCTGAATAAATGAAGGAAAAAGTAAATGCTCCTACTTACTGTTCTGCTTCATCCGCTTTCATCGTGCATTCATCACCCTTTGCTTTAGCTTGAGCTATCGCTTCTTCAGATAGTTTCAAAGTAGCTTCGTAGGTAGCTATTAGAGAATAGTAAAATCTTGCTTGTTTTCTGTATACTTCATGGAGAGGTTGGAGAGGTACTCGTGGGAATGAGCGGATGTTTGGGAAGTCTCTAGTAGTGATTGGGGCTGCCTTGTTTTTTCTACCTGCATTTAAAAACATACTTGATGAGAAAATATTGAAAGACGAAAGGGTGCTTGAGTAGGGATCCTCGCTTTTCAAAAAAAAAGTTTCTAACTGCTCATATGAGCCCTGTGGTACCTCCTTTCATGGTTGAAACAAGCTGGATCAGGTACCATAAATTTTAAAAATTAATATTTGTGTGTAGTTCCCTTCTCAGGCTGATTTTTAGTCTACAATTTAAGGAGCGTAAGCTACCCCGTCAAGCCTATAAGATCCGAGATGGGTAACCAGACTCTATAATTACATGCAGTTACCTGGTTTCGGTCTCATACGTGGTTTTGCAGCATTCCCATTACGATATCTCCCCAAAAACTCAACGAATCCAAAATCCTTGCCACTCCCGATCGCAGCATAGATTCCCTCATATAATTGGAAAATTTCGTGACAATTCATCAACAATTTATTTCATAATTGATAATCCATTGCCATTTAAAAATGACAGGGGTTTATGATACTTCACGCAAAGCATATCAGATGCTTGCATTCCTTGTTTTTTGAATAACATACTGTTGGAAGAAAATCAGATGGGTTATCACCTAGAGAATTAACGGAAACCTATTTAATTTAAATACTTTTGGGGGGTTTTTCAAGACAGCACCTTCTCGTAAGAAACACACCCAATGATGTTTCCTCACATTAGTGACTCAGGCAACTAAACTTGCTTCAAAGGCAAGCTGGATGCGTCAGAGACTAATCAAAGGGAACTACCAGCAGAATTATTTACCACTTTGCTTGTTGTAGTTCAAGGGCGCACGTGCACTTAAAAAATCTTAACCTCAAATGATATCAGACATTTTAGTCCAAGAGGTCGCCCGAAGAGTTTCAACCGGAAAGATCTAAAAATGCCACCATTTTTTTTCGATGTCTATTTTATTGATGATTGATCAGTCGGTCTGGCAGGTCATATTGGTGATGTTCAATGGCCATAAGACTTCAAATTTCAAAAACAAATTTGACATAATTTAACTGGAGCAATCTATGCATGAAATTTTACCACCATGTAGAATTTTATGCCCATATCGCAAATGAATCGGTCTGGCAGTCGAAATCGGTGACAAAATGGCCGCCAGGCCAATTTAAAATTGGAAACAATCTCTGAAACAGCCTTCCAATTCTGAAAAACTAGATTTTCCGTAAATTCAGGCAATAAAATATGGCAACACCGGCTTTTTTGGGTGGGCCTTGAAAAAAACAAGGTCTTGGAGGAAGGTTTGGACCATCCGCGGCCATTTTCTGCCAAAAAAGTTCAATTCTGGGGTAAGATGAGTCACCTTTATTAGGCCATTTTAAATATTGATGAAAAACAGGAACATTCTAAAAAAAATTTTATAACTATGAGACATCGACTAGCTATGAGACTATTGACAGAGAGGAAAATTGGCGAAAGTGGCTCTTTTAAAACCCTAATGAACATATTTGAGGGACTTTTTGTTCCTCCAAAGGAATCGTCACGAAATAGCGCGTCGGATGCCAAAAATTCTGCATTTTTCGCAAAAATTGGCCTTCAGACCCATATGTAGGCGAATGGTAGACCCCGAAATAGACCGGCATCAAACCATGATGCATTCCATAAAATATACCTAGTCCTTGAATGACCAAAAAATCGCAGAGTTGAGGAATTTACTTAAGGGTGGGCCCAAAAAAGGCCCTTAACGATACCCCTCCTTCGGTTTTTCTTACTCCAGGCACCTTTAGATGCATTCATAGAAATGATGAAATCAGATTAACCCCCCCCCCCCCCCCNGGAAAAAGTTGTCCGGTAGAATACGCTCCTGCAGTCTGGCGGTTTAAACTTAGATCACCCTGTATGAGGAGCAAATGTGAGAGACGGGATGAAAGGAATCAAATTACCATAATTTCCTTGCATGCTTCTTAAAACGCAAAGGAAATTTTCTCCTGAAAAATTCAGACACTTCTTTCGGATTGTTGACAAAAATAGTAAGGACATTTTCTCCTGAAAAATTCAGACACTTCTTTCGGATTGTTGACAAAAATAGTGTATAGGGCTAATCTAACCGAGAAATTGGCAATTCCACTGCAACTCAAAATTCTATAGCTATGACAAACCATAAAATTCAACTGGCATTACGTATTGAAGGTCGGAAAATTTACCTGAGACGGCTGAGCTTCTTTTTCCTTTTTTTGATTTTTTGGCATCCATTAAGCCCTTTAGAGGTGTACTTAGTCTGGAAAATAAAAAAAAATAAAAAATGTAATAGACAGGTGGCGGAGACCAGGAGGGTTTTTTGGCAGTTAAAAACCTCAGGGAACCCTTGTAGCGTTTAATCTTTCACTAAGAAATGAAATACAAGTGGAAATAGAAATAAAACAGCTGTGGGGAAAAAACATAGTCTTAAATCCATGGATTTGAGCCGTGAGGTAAACTCACCATGAAGTAAGAGAAGTCCGCCAAAAACAGAACTTATAAAATTAGTCAATCCCTGTTTATTGTTGCATTGATGTTCTTTGCAAAAGTGTTCCTTACAATTTCAAAAACCTGCATGCCTTGAAGCAAACAAGTTTAATTGGTCCGTTTTACGCAAGAAATACAGCATACTGAATATACTTAAATGGATAAATTCGCTCGAAAATCTAGTCAAACTTTCATGCCCAGGCATTTATACCTTACCTATTTTTAACCCACTAAAAAATGAGGAACCAAGACTTGCCATACCGATGATCAGTATTTGAACTTCACCTCTAAACTTTAACTGTTATTGATTCGTTTGACTTCCCTTTCAAAGACATCTCTAAGATTTGGTTAAAAAAAAGAAAACACACGCGGAACAATCTAATTGGAGTTTTTGCAATCCTGAAAATCTGCGTCCCAGGAGGCAATTTTTCCACCTTAGGACAAAGTTGATAGGTTATTAGGCCTTGGATACCAACTGACGTCACAGCCAATGGAAATCGCGATTTCTCACTGCGATTTGGCGACTTTTTATCGAGCTTCTACGAAGCTTTCGACTCGATTTCGGTACTTGCTAATGAGAAAAACGGTTTTTTCGCGAGAAGTTTTGCTTGAAACAGTGGTCAAATCTGAAATCCCAGCTGCATGCAACAACTCCATTCAGCGTGTCATTGTGGCATGTGCTTTTGAAAGTATTCCTAATGGAGATGTTGCATGTGTGAGGGATTTGCGATTTGACTATTGTTTCTTATGTAAAAATTCGCGAGAAACACGATGCTGTCACTGGTTTTCTCTGAAATCAACTCCCAAGCTTAAAAAAAAGCTCTCAAGTTGAGGCCAAAATGGAGGGGATATCCCGCCCTACCCTGAGAGTCCACCTCTACATCAAAACAAACTCTCCATGCAAAGATAGGGAGCAAATACATTGGCAGTGATGCCGTGTTTTCAGTTTTGGAGTCCCCAAATGAAGTGGCAGCCCTGTCAATGTATTTGCTCCCTATCTTTGCATGGAGAGTTTGTTTTGATGTAGAGGTGGACTCTCAGGGTAGGGCAGGATATCCCCTCCATTTTGGCCCCACTTTGAGAGCTTTTTTTGAGCTTGGGAGTTGATTTCAGAGAAAACCAGTGGCACCATCGTGTTTCTCGCGAACTTTTACATGAGAAACAATAGTCAAATCGCAAATCCCTCACACATGCAACAGCTCCATTTAACACACTAATTTAAGATTTTTGTTCGTGGTGTCCATGAACTGTGGACAGGATGAAGCGTTACCCTTGGGATTCGGGGGGTATATTTCGGCATGAGAAGAACGAATCTTTTAGCGATCTTTTAACGAACCGGCCATAACACCGATTTTTTCGCCGCCATTTTTAAAGTATTTAGTACATCGTTAAAAAGTCGTGATATGGATTTCCCGTCATTTTTTCGCCGCCATTATAAGGTTTTTTGAAATTTCCAAAATCCAATGAAAGTTTCGATTTTCTCGTACCGAAATACCCCCGGATACCAAGTGTCATACAAATATAACGATAAGCAGCCTAAATATCCACTCTTGAATAGAACAAAACAAAGCATCAACTTGATCTTGGGCTCAAATGAAAGCTCTCAACAAGACCTTTCATTTGGTGCATATTAAAATCTGTTTTTGGTAATTTTTCAGTGTGCAAAAATCATTGTTTGATTTTTCAAGCCCAAAACATTCAGTTTTTCGAATTTTCCTTTAAAAAGCATAATTTCAAAAGGAATCATTACAAAAACCAATTTTAATGAAAGCCCTTGATTCAAGCTTTAAAACGAGCTATGGTTCAACTTGGGGAAACAAACGGTTCAAAAGTTATGACCGTTGAAAGTTGGCGTGGCGCGCTATTTTCGAAGCGCGCGGAGTGTATATTCGCGTGCCACCCCCCTTCCTACCTTTTCCCCTCGTGCCCACTTCAGCTGATAACGGATACAGAAAGGTCAAAAGCTCCTTCCACCTAAAGAATGATCTATCATTAGTGCAAAATTACTTTTATTTCTGTCGAAAATAGGAAAATTAAAATAAATTAAATGCTAATAAACGATAAGACGCTGGCGTACATTATTCTTTCGCACCCCCCCCCCCCCTCTATGATTTAATATTTAATAGCCAAATCAAGCCTCTTTTACCGCCAAATACACTAAAGAGCTGTAGAAAATATTCAAAGACTCTAGAACGCAAACTAGCCAACCAGCACTTGAAACTCGCATTTACTACTGAATATCTCTCTCTCACCTCTCTTCAGCCTCGNGGGGGGGGGGGGGGGGGGGGGGGGGGGGGGGGGAGTCGGGTGCAAAAAGATAATGTATGCCAGCTTTTTATCGTTTATTAGCATTTAATTTAATATTATTTTCCTATTTTCGACAGAATTGGTTAAAACTTGTGCTTACCTTCTGTTTGTAGTTTGGACGATTTACTTTCTTAATTCTTGCTAAGTATTTCCCTTCAGTTTGTAGTTTGGACGATTTACTTTAGGTTCTTGCTAAGTATTTCCTGTAAACAAAAAGCAGACTTGGTAAGAATAAATTAAGGGAGGAAGGGATGGTTCAAAAGTGTCAGTGCACTGAAAAAAAGTTCTGTTGTCACAAACCAGAATTTCTGGTTGTATTTCGCAACCAGATTTTCCGGTTGATTCAACCAGAATTACAGTTGACTCAACCAGACGTCTGGTTGACTCTACCAAATTCTGGTTGAGTCAACTGTAATTCTGGTTAAATCAACCGGAAAATCTGGTTGCGAAATACAACCAGAAATTCTGGTTTGTGACAACAGAACTTTTTTTCAGTGTGGCAATCAGATCCGTGCTATTACAAATCACTTTCTACTGATCAGACAATGCTACAACTACAATTGTTTACGCCTTTCACACTTGGCCCCTGTTACAAAGCATGCGAGTTCCGTGAAAAATCAATGGCTGTCCCTTGACAGTTTTTACCATTACAACATACTAATTATACTACATATATGCTATATTTACAATATACTATACTTTGAAATAATTCTATCGAAAGCACCTTGAGCGAATAAAGTGAATATTAATCCGACTCAATGAGAGAGTTTAAGCACAAATCATAGGCTACTTGAGACAAAGGGACCAAATTAAACAAAAATAAATTTATCAAAATCAGAAGGTAGAACAACAATTTGGGCCTCATCCACAATCTTGGATTTGAAAATTTCGAAAATTGGACTGAAAATTCGAGTTGCTGGTCGAAAAATATCCCCTCGTACCTATCTTAACGAAAATGGATGCAGTAGAAGTCGATAGCATTTTAGGTCACATCCGCCATCTTGGATTTAGATATTTGAAAAAGTGACAGAGAATTCGAGTTTTTCGTCGAAAAATACGCCCTGATACCTAGTTTTACTAAAACCGATGCAATAGGAGCCGAGATAGCATTTTAGGCCACATCCGTTATCTACGATTTACATATTTCGAAAATAGGACTGAAAATTCGAAAGTTTTACAAAAATCTATGCAATGGGAGCCGAGATACGGGGTGCAGGATTAATAATTTAAACGATTCATCTGTTCTTCTCTTCTCTCCTTCCGTCCATTGACAGAGATACAACATTTGTCGGACTCACTGACGCGACCGGCTCGATGCGTAAACAAGAAGTGTGGATTACCTCTAAGGTAAAAAAAAAAAAAAAAAAAAAANAAAAAAAAAAAAAAAAAAAAAAAAAAAAAAAAAAAAAAAAAAAAAAAAAAACCCGAGAATAACACCCACATGACAACATGGTTTTAAAGCAAAACTTAATTCAAATTTTTCCATCCAATTGCATTTCCATTTTAATCCAAATCATATGGTAAGCTTACAATAAAAGCAACCATGATATAGATGCAGCGTAGTTAATCGAAAGAGTCTGACTTGTACCTATGTGGTAAAATGGGTCCACTGGTAAAACTGAAGCTGGCGTCAGGGATAAAAAGGCACCGTTTCACTGAGAGCATCGAGCCGTTCGCGTCAGTGAGTCCGAAAAATGTCGTATCTCGATGGACGGAAGGAGAGAAGAGAAGAGAAGAATAAATGAATCGTTTAAATTATTAAAACGTCTTTTAGTGCGTAATCTTCGTCGCGCAATGGAACACACTCTCTTAGTGTATCACGTTGCGCGCGCCTTTCTCGGGCGTTTTGCGGCTTTTGTGATGCAGATACGACCAAAACTGACGAAATTTTCGGCCTTTGGGCACACAGCTCGGCGTTTTCCATGGGAAAACAGTGTTATTAAATCTAAAAATCACAAAGAGCCATGCACAAAGTGGCCCATTTTTGGGCCCTCGAAATTGGGGTCGAAGTGAGGTTTTTTTTCATCCTTAGGGTGACCCTTTACACATACTAAAATTTCAGATTGAGTATACGCACCGTTTACGAGTTATGGGGGGGCAAAGTCCCCGATTTTCACCCATTTTTGCAGGTGTTTTAATGTCAAATTCCGGCTGTTACGAGGTACCAGATCTAGATATTGAAGCGCGGTTTGCGGTGATTTGTTCAGCTACTCCTGTAGTGTTTTTCCATATCTTTCACAAAGCCCCAAATTGTTTTTTGGGGGGCGGGGAGGGGGGCTTTATTCATACTATCATGACCGTTAGCGCATCTTACTGACTTTACTTTGTTCTCTTCTCTCCACACCGCGGTCACGATGGTATTTTCTGTTGGGGATTTTTCTTCTTCTTTACATTTTACCAATTTTAATGTCCTCCCCCTCTTTTCCCCTTTTTACCCCCTCCCCCGCAATCCAAACACTTCCTCTCAAGTGTTCTTCCTGTAAGGCAGATATGACGGGGTCATATGTGGGGGATTATTTTTCTTTCTTTACGATTGATGAACTTTGACCCAACTTACTTCTCCCTTACAGGGGCAAGAGCCCCCCTTACCCCTGTATTATCCCCCCCCCTGCCCGCTCCACTTTACTTGAAGTATTTTTCTCCCTCCGCAGCAG